TATTCTCCCAATTAAAATATGATATGCTGGAGCCTACTGGTTGAATGAAAACTCTTGCACCTTTTGAGAATTGAGGATATAATAAATATTCATATGATCAGCTGTATAACATTGAAAAGGACAGATGGCTCAGGAAGGTTCATTTGCTTGGTTTACTATCTATATCCATTAACATTAGAAAGGATTGAAAGAATGTATCTGCCAGAGGGTTTAATGGATAAATTAGAGGTTTGATTTTTTTTCCCCTTAACTGATCATTTTTGACATTTAGCTACTATATAGGGGAAAAAATAGGAAAGTTGCTTTCTACAAAATACAGTCTCCACAGTTATGTTTAAAAGTACTGAATAGATATAAAAAAAAATCTTCATGTAAATCAGAAAAGCATTATTTCTTGGTAACATCTTCTTAGAAACAGCTATTTCTAGCATACAGGTCTCCTAAGTGAGGAGAAATCATTTTTATTTCCAAAATGTAAGAGGCTGATAGATACATACAGTGTTAGAAGAGGTATCTGCATTCAGCAACTTCTCTGGCTCTGTACATCTGGACCAAGAATATGGACCCTCAGGTGTAATACTACAGAATTTACTCTTTCTTTCCTGTGGTGTGAAGGAAGTTAATTTGGATCATGGAGAGCAAAAATGGGTGATTTTGTCAAATAAAAATATTAATATAGATAAAAATAGTAGTTATCAGGAAGCTTCTGAAAGCAGACCTTATCCACTTTCTAAATGCAGAGATTTCTTTTAAATCATTTTGTCTCTTGATTTTTTTTTATTTAAATTCTTAGAGCTGATTATTACACAATTAACTACTTTCAGGGAAAGCATTAGCTGGGTCATTTTTTTGCTTCTGACACAATGCTGTAAATATCTGAGGGGAGAGGTTGATGCCTTCAAATATCTTAGAATCTTTGGTGCTCTCAGGATTCAAGTTTTCCTGAACTCACAAATTTTTTTTAAAAAAGCACACCACAGAAAAGTTGGATCTCACCATAAGATCTGTTAGGAAATACTTTGGAGGCATTGCTGTTCTGTGCTAGATTATTTCAATCTAGGATTATCATTTCTGCCTTGACTTGCTTTATTTTCTCTCTAAGGTAGGTTTTCTTAAGGTATTACCTTTTGGTTGTCTTGATAGTATTAGAGAAAAAAAAATCCTATATATCTGTTTTGAAGGACTGTATGTTTTATACACATATAAGCTGCATCTCAATTATTTCCCATATTTTCAACAGTTAAAGAAATCTTTTTAAATCCCTGTTTACCATACTATTTTTCCTTTGCAGTCTCATTCATTGTGTAGTCTGAGAGAACTAAGAAATTAATTGTCCTGCAAAGGGGCAACTTGTTTTCTGTGCTCACTCTTAGTATGAATAGGATTCTGGGGGAAAAAAAGAAGAAGCCACAGATCCAAGTGTTTCTGTATGGCCTGCTGACGTTAAATGCTGTGCAGGTAACTCAGTGTTTTGAAATAAGTGGATCAGGTTCTCCACAGAGCCTAATCCAGGCACGTGCTGCCACTGTTCAAAATGTACATACGTTTGGAGAACAACTTGTGGCAAATTCTGGAAAGAGGTGTGAATCGATTAGTAAAAATTTTAAGAGCAAGCAGAAACACTTACCACCAGTGAAGTGATCTGGGACTTGCTTTAAAAGGATACATTTTTAAATGCTCCACTTAAAAATAAAACTCTGAAGACCCAGTTTAAGGAAAAAAATGTGATGTATTCACAAAGCCCTAATGAAATGCCAAATATAGGAGGTTTCTCTCCAAGAAGAGACCTGTGATGCTGGGAGACACTGAGGAGCTGCACAGGTCCACACTGCCCCTGGCCATGGCAGGTGGCAGAGAAGACAGCACCTACAGCAGACGGGGACCTTCCCCGGGCATGTACCTAGCTTTCACAACTTTCTGATTTAATCAGCAGTGGGTCCACCCCTGAGAAATTGTCTAATCCCTATCTGAATCCTTTCATTCTTCTGTCCCTCCAGAAGGTTTCCCCGCCTTCTCTTCTCCAAGCTGCAGATGTTTACTGTTTTACTGGGTTTATGTTTTCAGAGCAGTTGGAACATTTATTTCAAGACCTTTGAGTGGTAATAATTAATTTAGGGCTTATCTCCACTTAAGCTTAGGCAGCATTATTTTTTCCCCATGTGCAACATCTTCCTTTTTTTCATGAGATCTTGTGTGCCACTCAACTCACTCTATTGATAGTTTCACAGGTCTTCCATGCCTGTTTTACGTGCGACCATTCTAAATGATAAAAATTCTCCATTATGGAACTTCACAGTTCACTTCTACGTTTGCTCCTTAGCTTTTGCTTAATTAGTCTCCTACAAAAGTAGCTCCTTACTCCTTATTCCTTCATAGTAGGTGTTTCACCACCACAGGCTCTTGAAAATTTGAAGGTTTCAAACATATTCTAACACATCCATGTCTTTATGAGTAACCTACACATCAGATAACCTGCATCTCTTAGAAGCACTCATACACATAAATAAATCCTTCAATAAATCCTCCCCTTCTAAGGCAGCAGCAGGGACCATAGTGGCCAGATATGGAGGAGTCGCAGGCAGAGCTCAACTGTGGAGAGCAAGCAGAGACCAGAAACTCCTCAGGATTTTACTGAGAGAAAAGAAGCCAGGAGATAAACTTCTCATGTTATCTAGAAATGCAGAGAAATCAGCCTCGGCTGAATAGCTGTGAGTTTCATTAGTAATTCACTGGATTTGCCCATAAAACCCTGATATAGCACGCTAGTGGTCTCCTTTGCAGAATGTGATAGAGATTCAGGTTCTTTCTCAAAAACTTTACATGCCCAACCCTTCAGCAAGGTCATAGAACAGCACATGGCACCAATACAAGCTCAGAATAGGAGCATTAAATCATCAGAAAAAAAATTGCAGTAGAAAGGCACCTGGACAGACATTAGCTTTGTTCTGAAGGTCACCTACTGCTGAATCTTTCATAGAAGAGCAGGATAAAGGGAGTGCAGTGATACCAAAACATTTAGAGTAGATACATTTAATGGGAAGGTAAAGGCCATTAGGTTTAAGAGGAAGAAAAAAGAAATTCAAAGTTCTCCCTCCCTTTCCTTTTCTCAGATTTTGGAGCAGAATCAGATTCTCAAAGCTCTCTCACCTCCAGCTTTGATTTTAGCAGACATCTCAAGCGTGCAGACATCTGCTCTGTTCACTTCTCAGGTGCAAGAAGTCCAACAAATATTGTTATGGCAAATTAATAAGATTTTACACCCACCTAGCTCCCTCACTACTGAAATTATGTCTCTAGTTAAGTATCTAGGCTAGCAAAAAACATCTTCAGATTTAGAACTGGCAAGCATGGGAATTTTAATTGTGTCATCTTGGCCATAATACTTCCCCTTCTATCTTCCTACTAAACTTCTTTCTCTCTCGTACAAGTCAATCTCATTTTCAAATCTTCACTGGTGTATAGTACAATCATGGTATTTTCAGACAGATATTATTACATATACCAGAAAGAGGCATGTTTTAGTCATAATTAAACTTATTCTTGGTGAAGATTTAAGAACTGGTTTGATGCAAAAGACTCTATGTGAATGTAAACTTTTTCAGTGTTAAGTTACTCTTTACTTGTTTACTTATTGATATGAATGCATGGCAGGAATACATCTGTATTGAGGGCAAAATTAATGCAAGTTTTGTACAAAGTGTACTTATTCATACTTAGTATATTTTAAAGCATCACCGTCAGGGAATGTTTATCAGAAGGCTGGGAAATCTTCACGGAGTATTCTGAATGCATCTCCTGTTAGAGCTTTGTTTCATTTGAGCAATGATAGCCTAAATATTTTATTTTAAAAATAATAATGTTTGATTAATCTTTTCTTTCACCTATTCCAAGTTCTCTTAATATATTAGAATTTTAAGGATAGATTTTTAAAAAAAAAAATAGGTTTTTTTAAAAAAAAGAAACACAACTGTTTTTAAACACCAGTTGCAGATGGATATTGAGGCTGAACTGCTTTGTGATGCTTGCCAGGACTGAAGTGTGGGGTTGATGAGAGATACTCAGACACTGTTAGGAAATTAATAGAATATATCACCAGATTTAATTGTGATAAGTGTATTTATGACTAGTGGAGAGAAAGAAAAATAGCACACTTTATGGAGAGCCTAGATAGAAGAGTCAGCTATGGTGTATGCATTTAGTTAAAAAACAGAGGATAATAGGGAAGAAAAACTGGGAGAAAAATCAATAATAATATTTAGAAAATTCAGTGGAAAAGAGAGAACAAGAGAATGGATGGAGTACATAGAAAAGTGGAGAACCCTAGAGAAAAGCAAAAGGAGAAGCAAAAATAATCTGTAAAGTTGTGTGAAAGTGTGTGTGTGAGGGGCTCTATTTGATGTAGTAAATGTGTCTGTACACGTTTAACTAAATCCGTGCTAGCATGTATCTAATTAGAAAGCTGCATATCTCAGTAAATCTTCAGCACAATTTCTATTTATCAATTAACGTATCTGAATGGAGGAGGAGAACAATTTAGTGAACCCTGGGCATTTTCGGTAATAACCTCTATTTGTATACAAAATAGGCCATGTTTGTAGTGCCTCTGTTGCAACCTACAAATTCTGTAAAGTAGGAGGAGGGAGGCAATTTATGACTACTATTTACTATGCAAATTTATCCCCTTTGTTGTTTTAATGCCTTATTGTTCTCCTGATCTGTATATCATCTTGTTACATGCCAGGTTTGCAAACTAAGAGAACTGTAAACTGGTTTTGGACTTCATATGTATATGCCATGTATATACGCACATCGAGATTCTGGAATTTTGGTGAAATCTGCGCTGTGTTAATGCAAATGACATTGTATAAGAATTTATATTCTTAAACATTTATACTCAAGCTCATCTAGAACTTTCTTCCAAATGAACTCATTTTCTTTTGCTTGTGACAATCGCCGCTTGTTTCAGCATATACTAACTGTGACTATTGTTCCTTCTCTAGCTGTACCCCATAAAATAGGACGGATAATTGATGGAAGCCCTGCAGATCGCTGTGCAAAACTTAAAGTTGGAGACCGGATTTTAGCTGTGAATGGCCAGTCTATTATTAACATGCCTCATGCAGACATTGTGAAGCTAATTAAAGATGCGGGTCTCAGTGTAACTCTTCGCATCATTCCTCAGGAGGGTAAGTCAATGGCCCTTAAAAACAGGAAGAACATTTTAAGTAGCCTCCAATTAGCTTGAATTATGTCACTGCTTGAAAGAACATTTTTTGTTTCACTTTCCCAGTACAGCACACCAGAATTCCAGCCTTAAAACCAGCTCAAATAATACCTGAATTCTTGGACAAGTTTCTAGTTATGAACAAGATGTTTAAAGCAAACCTGGAGAAACCTGAGAAAGAGCTTAGTGCTAGAAAGTCAGTGCTACTGTTTTTTGGAAAAATTGTCTTCTACATGGAAAAGCACCCTACAAGAGAATAAAGTTTTGAGTTCATTTCCTTATATCCTGCTATAAATCAAACCAAATTTTGTCAAAGTGACTCTCAAGAGACTGCAATGGCTGTCCCTGGGCATGTTCAGCTACCAGCTACCTGGGACAAAAAGTGAAGTGAAGGAAGAGTTCAAGTTTGGTAGTTTCCTCCACTATATCACTATAAATGCACAAGACAGGAAAGAACGAAGCCCTAAATGATCTCATTTGTAGGGTGAGCATAAGGGGACAGATTCATTATTCTGGTCATTACTTCACAGCTAATCAGTGAAGATCTTTTGATGTCGGTGTCATGGATTTGGGGGCTGATTTCAGGGCTTTTCTTAGTTTAACAATGTGCTGTACTTGTGTATTAATTGTACCGTATTAATGAGACTGTGGCTTTATATCTCAGAAAAAAATGCCATTAAAGCTAGGAATGTCACACGGCAAGTAATGTAGTTACTTAATGATTCACACCCCAGTTAGGCAACCTTCACCTTCTGCTGCTGCATCCAGCAACTGGACAGGGAAATAGTCTGACATCGACCATCTTATGTACTTTGTTAAATTCACTGAAGGAGAAAACAGAAACATACACAAGTTCAGAATTCACATCAAAGTGTTGCTGTGTAATGACTGGAGATTAGTTTTGCGGGCATCTACTGACAAGTTTAATGCTGCATGCAGTCCTTGTAGCTTATTTAGACCTCCCTGGTATTAATGCCTTAATTAATAGTCCTCTCCAGATTAATTCATATTAGCAAATTGCTAATAGTTCAGCGTTAGAGACAGATACCTTAAATTAAAAAGATGCTCCCACATGTGCGCCTGTGATGCAGTGCTGCAAGATCTTCTTGGGTGCTAGTGGTGAGAAATGATTTGTGCCCAAGGCATACCTTCCCTGTGTGACACTGGACACCTCATTTACCTTCTGATATTAGCTTCCTAGCTTACAAAATTAGGGAAAAATCTAATACCTTTGTAATGTACTTTCAGGTGAAAAATACCATATAAATGCAAAGCAGTTTTAGAAGCAGTTTATGATTTGACTAGTTCATCCATAGTTATGAGAGTAATGTAGAAATAAGGGACAGCATTCCCAATCTTTGTCTCTGAAACATTGCGATACAAAAGAGACTCACAGATGCAAAGTGGGCAATTAAAGCCTGGAGCATAGTAATTACACAGACAAGTATTGCTTATGCCTGCATGAGAGTGTTTTAAGTGCAAATATACAAGCTTTTCTGACAATTAAGCCTAAATTAGAAAGATTTTTAATAAAGTAACCAAAATTTTTAAAATAATTATGAGCATAAATTAAATCAATAGAGAGCCTTTAGAAGTGTGCAGTCATAGGGGACAAACTCACATGTTAAAAAAAAAAATCATTCAAAATCCAAATATAAAATGAGACAAGATCTAGAATGTGCATAGCTATTGCTGTTAGGGATGCTCAGCCACACACATGTCCATTCTGGATGCCTTGCACCACCCAACTCTGGCCTCACTCATTCTGTTGCAAGCAGGAATAAAAGATAACAATGTGTACCTTTGCTGTGGATAATGAATGAGCAATTATTTCTGCAGTGTTCTGTCCCCTTGTGGGTGGAGTCTCTTTTATTTACACTTCTTAATAGGTAAGTGATGAGCAGCATAACTGCGCCAATGTTTCAGGAGAAATATATTTGATATTATCTCAGTGCCAGCTGTGTTTTCTCTGAAGTGCAGTGGGGAGCCTGGAGGAAGATTGGCATCCTTTATTTGTAACACAGCAACATTTCCTACCCCAGCCTCTCTGTCTTTTTGAATTGCATGTTGTTTGGAAAGAAGGATTCTGGTTTTCTTCAGTGTTCCTGTGTAAAACCCTGGTCGTTTGGCACAACACAGTGAAAGAAAACATCAGTTTAGCTGGTTAGTCAGAATTTATTGATATTGGGTTTAGTGCTCACAGTCCCCAAAGATTTAGAAAGCATAGGATACTCTTGTTAAGATCAAAGGGAGCAGGAGCTAACACAAGCACACCAGTGATTTAGATTTTGTGACAACAGTCTGTTATCCCCTAAGAGTGGTTAAAGCAATACAATCATTCATTCTCTCAAAATGAAAAGTTTTTTTCAAACTGAAAAGTATTTCAAACATCTAGAAGCTATGATAAGGCACATGGAGGACAGGGCAGTGATTAAGGACAGCCAGCATGGCTTCACCAAGGTTGAGTCCTGCCTGACCACCCTAGTGGGTTTCTACAGTGGAATGACTGTTATTGGTGGACAAGGAAAAAGCTACAGATGTCATCTATCTGGACTTCTGCAAGGCCTTTGACACAATCCTCCATGGCATCCTTCTCTAAATTGAAGAAATATGGATTTGGTGAGTGGACTGTTCAGTGGATAAGGAATTGGTTGGATTGTCACATCCAGATGGTTGTGGTCAACGGCTTGATGTCCAGATGGAGATAGATGTCAAGTGGTGTCCCTCAGGGGTCTGTGCTGGGACCAGTGAGGTTTAATAGCATCAGCAATGACACAGACAGTGGGATTGAGTGCACCCTCAGCTAGTTTGCTGGTGACACCAGACTCTGTGGTGCAACTAACATGTCTGAGGGAGGGAGTGCCATCCAGAGGGATCTGGACAAGCTGAAGAAGTGGGCCCATGTGTACTTCATGAGGTTCAGCAAGACCAAGTGCAAGGTCCTGCACCTGGGTTGGGGGAACCTCCGATATCAATTTAGGCCGAGAGATTAAGTGATTGACTACAGCCCTGTGGAGAAGGACTTGGCAGTACTGGTGGATGAAAAGCTGGACATGAACTGACAATGTGTGCTGCAGCTCTGAAGCCCAACTGTATCCTGGGCTGCATCAAGAGAAGCATGGCCAGCAGGTCAAGGGAGGTGATTCTGCCACTCTACTCCTCTCTTGTGAGACCCCGTCTGTGTCCAGCTCTGGAGTCCTCAGCACAGGAAAGGCATGGACCTGTTGGGATGGGTCCAGAGAAGGGCTACAAAACTGATCAGAAGGATATAATACTTCTGTGCAGAAAGGCTCAGATAGTTGGAGTTGTTAAGCCTGGCAAAGAAAGCTCCAGGGACACCTTATTGCAGCTTCTAAATACTTCAAGGGGGCCTATAAGATGGAGAGGGACTTTTTAGCAAAGTCTGTTGTGATTGGGCAAGGGGTAGTGGTTTTAAACTAAAAGGGAGTTAGTTTAGATTTAATGTAAGGAAGAAATTTTTTATGATGAGGGTGGTGAAACATTGGAACGTGTTACCCAGAGAGGTTGTAGAAGCCCCATCTCAGGAAACATTCAAGATCAGGTTGGATGGGACTCTGAGCAACCTGATCTAGTTGAAGATGTCCCTGCTCATTGCAGGAGAGTTGGACCAGATGACCTTTAAAGGTCCCTTCCAACTCAAATTATTCTATGATTCTATGATCAGTATTTCTAGGCTTTAAAAGCAAACATGAAACAAGGAAGCAATTTGCTTTGTTCAACTGGGTGTTAAAGAATAGAGGTGTCAAACGGAGTTATAGAAGTGACCAAGCTTTCAGATCCCACGTACTATTAAAAGGAGCCCATTAGGTTTAGATGTCTTAAAATGTAGTTATGACCCAAGAGAGTAAAAGCAACAAAGCATAAATTTTCAGAGGTAGCGTATGACCAGAAATAGTTACTGCCTACCTTTGCCCTTTATTAAATGCCATGCCGTGACAGGTCTTTAATCTCCAGCTTCCCATTACGCAGAGCTGAACAGCCCAGCCTCGGCCCCCAGCTCGGAGAAGCAGAGCCCCATGGCCCAGCAGCACAGCCCCTTGGCCCAGCAGAGCCCCCTGGCCCAGCAGAGCCCCGTCGCCCAGCACAGCCCTGTCGCCCAGCCACCGCCTCCACAGCCCCTCCAGCTCCAGGGACATGAGAACAGGTAAGAGCAACTCCTCCAGCCTCTGCCTCCTGTGAGGAGCACGGGACGCCCTTGTGCTGGGTCTTAGTGCTGTTTCTAACGTCTGCGAGACATCCCTGGTGGAGCTCTGACAAGCCACGGCCATGTGATTGCACTGGCAAAGCATGAGTTTCGAATGCCAGGATGATCTACAAACCCCGTTCAGGTGTGAAACACGTGTTTATGAACAAGGTTCTAGCCAGCCTTCCTCAAATGTCCATCAGGATCGTATGTTTGCCAAGGGGATAAATGCTCAAGTATTCCTTGCTAATAATTTCATTCCTAGCATAATACTTTATCAATGCCATTTACAAAATGTAGGTGTATCAGTATCTGATTGTGAGGCGGCCTTTTTTCATTTTCTTTTCTTTTCTTTTCTTTTCTTTTCTTTTCTTTTCTTTTCTTTTCTTTTCTTTTCTTTTCTTTTCTTTTCTTTTCTTTTCTTTTCTTTTCTTTTCTTTTCTTTTCTTTTCTTTTCTTTTCTTTTCTTTTCTTTTCTTTTCTTTTCTTTTCTTTTCTTTTCTTTTCTTTTCTTTTCTTTTCTTTTCTTTTCTTTTCTTTTCTTTTCTTTTCTTTTCTTTTCTTTTCTTTTCTTTTCTTTTCTTTTCTTTTCTTTTCTTTTCTTTTCTTTTCTTTTCTTTTCTTTTCTTTTCTTTTCTTTTCTTTTCTTTTTTCTTTCTTTTCTTTTATCTTTTCTTTTCTTTTCATCTATTATAGTTCTGGAGTCAGGAAGATAGTTTTATAACAGGTTTTATCTATGATGTGCAATTTTCCAGCCAATTTCTCATGCATAATTTATGCATATGCATTGACAAACTTATCTGTGATGGATTTCAAGTGGCAGGGGGATAGAAATTTGTGACCAGCTGTATTAAAAGCTGTATATATAAAAAGCATGTTCAGACTGTGAAATGATACAACTCTGTGATCTCCAATCAACACTATTTAGTCTTTGAATTAATTTTTAGCGTGTAAAATGGCACTGATTACACTGACTGTCTTTATGCTAATCTTCAGTTACCAACATACCTCATCAAGACCCTCTTCCCCAAATAGTAAATGCTAGTTAAAGGATTGTAACTTCTTATTTCTGGAGGTATTTGAGTTCAGCTGTTATTTAGACACTATGACCTTTAATTCTCCTTGCTTAACAGATGTAGAACTTTCACTTGCCCCTAATTATTTTGTATCAGTTAGTTAGACCTGGCAAATTTCTATGCCTTATATTTCTTTGAGTAATTTTTTTACCTCCTAGAAGACATTTATTTCTGACAAAATCCATTGCAAAGCCTTCACTAAAGTCTCTCTGCACAGTTTTAAGTCAATATTAAAAGTCTGTCAGACTGAGCATTTTCAGAGGGGTCCAGTAAACTATATTAATTAAAGTTCCAGAAAAAAAATTCTTTAATAGTTTTACTGAAAAGCATAAGCTATAACTGATCATGACACAATTTACATACTCAGCAAAAATTGCAGTGCCTTCAACTGTAAATAAAAACATCATCGTCTGGGATACAGCTGGGATCCCACACTGGGAACCTGCCTAAGGATGACCAGAAAAAGGTCCATTATTGCTAGTTCATGTAGTATCATTTTTCACTAGATTTTGTGTCAGATTACAGGTTTTTTTATATAGCCACGTACATTGTTTCTGTATCAAAATCAAAAAAAGATTTTTAAAACTCTTAGAAACACTAATGAGTATTTTTACTTCCCATATTAATAAGGCTCCGTATCACAGTAAGCCTGGTTTTTTCTCTGTCTTCTTTTTACAGGATTATGATACTGAGCAAAGAAAGTAATAGGATTGCATGTTTATGTGCAGGTCTTATTATAGATGCTATGTACAGGTTTTAAAACAACTTGTGGCAGCAGGCTATTTTCATCTTTTCAGAAAAGTCTAAGGGAAATAGTTCTGGTATTTTTGTGTCTGGTTAGACATTCAGCTAATTAAAGCTAGTGCATAGGAGATTTGCCATAATGTTACTGTAAGTGCACTAATAAAGTGATGGAGTTTTAAAACACATTTGAAATATTTTGAAATTTTTAGATTATTTTTCATAGAAAAATTAACATGATGAAAAACAATGCTCTGATTTTTTTCAGAATGCATTTTTTTAATCAGTAACTACATTACCAAATATATTTCACAGTCCATATATGTCCATGTATCTCCATGTGTACATCTATGTATGTATTTATATATACATATTTTTATATATATGTACATCTATATATCGCTTGGTCAGCTGAAAACTTCCAGACCATTATTAAAGCAGAGTTTGAAATATATATTTCCTGTGCAGGAAAAAATATTTCCTCAGCACTTAGGCGAGAGTGTAAAAGCATCCACTATGTGAACATTTTTGTTACATTTAACTCAAACTAGTATTGTGGAATCACCTTGCTAAAAAGGTTCTGGACTTTCTTTATGCTCATTCAGCACGTGACATGGCAGAGGTACGGAGGTTTGCAGTAAGAAATACTCCTCACTTCACCCCGCAGTGCAAAATGCCGTTATGCACTGATTTCCCTGTGGGAAGGGAGCCACTCATTCCCATCTGAGTGAATTAATTAACTAGTCTCTCTTCTACTGAAAGTCACATTTTCTTTGAAATTTCAGGACTCCTCTTCCTCTAACCAACTGCCAATTAAAGCAATATTTTGCTTGTTATTACTTCCTCATTAACCAAATTTGTTTTCCTTTTACCCTGTGTTGCTTCTGTGCATAAATACCGATACGACCTTCTACAGGCTTTTAATCAGATAGTATTACAGGGAGTGTGTAATAATAATAATGCACACTCTATTAATAGATGTAATATCAAAGGATATCTTTCATTAAAAAGATAACAGCTAGTATGATGTATTCTTTTTTAACCTTAAGCAGCTCATAATAATAATAGTTTATGTCAATGGAACAGAGGGGATATAACCGTCTGCACTAATGTTTCATTTACTCTATTGGTATCTTGATTCTGGAAAAAAATCACTTTATTAGTACATTAGTTTCTAGTGAGTATTGTGGGCGTTTTCACATGCATCTTCCAAGTAGGCAAGATAAGTGGGAATTAGCATGGTTTTCCTGTTCCTGTCCCTTTTAGCCTAATTCTGATCTCACTGATACGAGCCAGAAAATTGCGCAGTGTGACCTGAGGGAAAATTACTTATGTCCACATTTCAAAAGGGCTCACAGGTTTTGGGTGCCTTCACTATTTACCCTCTGAAGTTTTGCTCCTCTGTGAAAATGTGTTTTATGCAATTTTGCGATCCAGCAGTTTGCTTTCACTCCTCATTACTGCATATAAAGTGTATTCTTAACGGTTTGCCCCTTTCTGAAGTTGAGTCATTTTGCCTTTCACAGTTATAGGTCAGAAGTAAAAGCCAGACAGGATGTGAAACCTGACATCCGACAACCTCCATTTACAGACTACAGGCAGTCCTCAACAGACTACCGACAGCCTCCGCTGGACTACAGGCATCCTCCGGTGATGGATTACCAGCAACCACCACCTCTCGACTACAGGCAACCACCCCTGATGGATTACAGGCAGCATTCCCCAGACACCCGGCAGTACCCGCTGTCGGAGTACAGGCAGCCCCAGGTACAAAGTGAAGTACTTAGAGCAGTCCTAAACAGAAAGCATCAGGGTGTGTAGGGAGTGGTCATATATCTTGGTAAAGAAGATGGCATTATAGAGGAAAAAGGCACTTTTATTGTTTTTGCTCAGAGTTACTATTTCTCTCTAGAGGAATGTTCTTCAAAATCATTAATATTAATGAACTATATGATCTGTCAAATTACACTACATTTATAATTGTGTGACTGTGATGTTATATAAATGCTATTTTTAAGGTGCTAGAGAGTTAAAATAAAAGTTCTAAATTAAGCTGCCTTTGGATGAGCAGAGGATTTTTACTCCTCCAAGGAAAAACTGGAAAGATGAATCTCAGTCTCTGCAGGGCACAGCAAGGGTGAAACTCAGATCTCCTACTTCCCATCTCCGCCTCAAGGCACATGCCTTAACTAGAAGTGATGAAAGTTGTTGTGCTTTGTCACTCCATGCAGTCCAGCCTGCTGATCACATTGAGTTCTACTGGGAATTTAGGAGGTGTCTCTCCCACTAGTTTTTAGTTGTGAAGATGCTTATGCAGGAACTGCCTGCTACCTCACTTGCCAGATCAGCACTTCTGCATAGACATAAACACACTCAGATACCATGAAAGCGTTGAGGGTGAATATGGAAACTGTCTGGAGAGATTTTGGAAACTACTGGACAACGCGCTTTCAGGGTAGTTTAGACTTAGGCATTTACATTTTGCACGTCTCTTTTCAGAAATGGCCAAAGTCTGTCAGTGCAGATCTACACTTTGAAGATCTCTTTGCTTGCATCGATTGCATAGATGCACTTTTGAAGGGATATATTTTAAAGGGTTTTTTTTGAATGTACACCATGACACTCATATGGCTAATTATCTTTCATTTTGCATTTGCCTGTACAGGACTTTGATTATTTCACCGTTGATTTGGAGAAAGGAGCCAAAGGTTTTGGGTTTAGTATCCGAGGAGGAAGGGAGTACAAAATGGATTTGTATGTATTGAGGTTAGCAGAAGATGGACCAGCAATAAGAAATGGAAGAATGAGAGTAAGTAAAATGCATTGTAATGTTTTGTTTCAACATTTTCAGTTACGTTTGGTGATGGAGTAAAAGAGAAAGTAGTCTTTCATCTCTGATCAGCTTTTAAAGAACCAATGCCAAATACCACTTATAATACAAAATTGCTCTTCAGAAGCTCAATAGATTAGTTGAAATACATAGTAAGCATGTGGAATTTCTTTGCAGAATAAATGTATTAATTTTTGTTCATAATAGCTTATAGTATGTTATACATTTTTTCTCCATATTCTTTCACTCATGTCTAGACAACTTAAATATCTCCAACAAAATTTTTTATGTTACAGCATAATTAACAGTTATTTCTCTAATCACAAAAACAAAGTGATATCCATATGATGCTTAATGGATAACTGTGAAACCTAAGACCTGGTCTGTGTGATTTTATTAATTTACTCAAGTTGCCTTCATGGTATTTGTTAAGTTTGTTTATTGATACTATCCAATCTTGTTTGTAGGGATCAGTTTTTACTATTTGTCTGCAAAGGTCTTAGTGCATTTGAGTCCTGTATTGGCAGAAATCATATTGTTAAATGCATATAAATACTAAATCTAAAAGCATTCACTTAAGAAATTCTGTGAATAAAAAAATACATGTTCTGTGTATAAAATATAATGTAAAAAAAAAGATAGATGATTTTAATCTGTCCAGTTGTGCTAAAGAGGAAGTGTAAACTTATCAAGGGTTGAACATAGAGTCATAGAATGGTTTGAGTTGAAAAGAACCTTAAAGATCACCTGGTTCCAACCCCCCTGCCATGGACAGGGACACCTCCCACCAGACTAGGTTGCTCAAAGCCCCATCCAACCTGGCTTTGAACACTTCCAGGGATGAGGCATCCAAAACTTCCCTGGGCAGTCTGTTCCAGTGTCTCACCACCCTCATAGTAAAAAACTTCTTCCTAATGTCTAATCTAAATCTACCTTGCTCTGGTTTAGAACCACTGTCCCTCATCCTTTGGCTACACACCCTTCTGAACAGTCCCTCCCCAGCTTTCCCATAGGCCCCTTCAGGTACTGGAAGGCTGCTATAGGGTCTCCCCAGAGCCTTCTCTTCTCCAAGCTGAGCACCCCCGACTCTCTCAGCCTGTCTTCACAGGAGAGGTGCTCCAGCCCTCTGATCATCTTTGTGGCCTCCTCTGGACCCTCTCCCAACATGTCTATGTCTTTCTTTGTGTTGAGGGCTCCAGAGCTGGATACAGCACTCCATATGGTGTCTCACAAGATGATGCCTTGCAGAACAGTGAGTACACAAAAAGGAGAACATGAGAGAAAGAGACTACCAGGAGTCAACATTAAGAAATTGTTTACGTATCTAATTAGTGCAGCTTTGTTGAACCAATGTTTAATTATAAAGATGGGCGATGGAAATTGTGTTCCATACAGTAGTAATAGCAGATTTTACAAATTTTATATTTGCTTGTTACATGGATTCAGTTTCAAGGTCCTAATAATCTCATGAAGTTTGACTTCACACTGAAATGGCATCATCATTGGTCTAAATATACAGAGATTTTTTGTGTATAGCTCAGGAGATTTAGTATGCTTCAGAACACTCTTAGTTTGCCCACTTTGTAGAACTGTGGAGTTCAGTTAGCCCTCAGGTATGCCATGAAGGGCAAAACCTGGCACTAGGAACTTTAACAAGGGAGCAAAAGCACAAGCCTTTCCTGTGATGAGGAAGCCAGGGGATCAAACAGGCAGGCAACTGGTAACTGAGATAGATATACTCCAATACTTGTTCTGTGAAATATAGATGAATTCATGCTGCAGCTAGAATTTTAACCAGGAATATGTAGCAATATCTGGTGTTCTCACTCTTTCCTTTACTGTAGCACCACTGTAGTCAGCTGCTCTTAACAAAAAGCCAGAAGCAAGATGTGCATTAGCAGCCAGAATGTGATCAAAGATGGGGAAAAAGTCATGCTGTTAATAAGCTCTGGAATCATATATTTGGAAATATATGACTAAGACTACAGGATAACAGAAGAACAGTGTCTTTGAAGAGGTTTAATTTCAAATAATAACTCATATTTAGGCAGAAATCTAACCTATTAAAATCTGTGCATTGTTTGAACAAATTAGTACCACAGAATAAAGTTATATTTACACCATGAATAGTGTAAATATAAAAAGTGTGTAACACAGTTACACAGCTTTTTTCAGTTTCATTAGGAGAAAAGTCCTGTATCATATAATAAAAAATGTTAATAGGTCATCTAAAATAACTTAAAGCTTTTTTTCTAGATGTGGCCACAATATACAGCCAAGTGTTTCTTTTGTCCAGATAGTTGAACTTTTTTTTCTCCCCTTTAAAAGCATCATTCTTTGGAATCAGCTTTACCCTCCAGCCTTGTCACTCAGTCTAGTGTTGTACTCTCCTGTTTAACAGCCATTTTAACCTGACAGTTGCAAGCAGGTTTGGAAATTTCAAGGCTTTTGTCTCCAATGACCTGTAACTGATGGACAGCAGCTCAAGAAACAGCTTCGTCAAGACAAAAATAGAAAACCAAAACAAAATATAGTAACTACTGAAAAGAACAGAGTATATAGGAAGGTAAGCTAAGGGAGCAGAGTTCTCTATCTGTATCTCCTTTCCTAAGTTTGCATCTGCTGTTAATAATGCAAGTTCATTCGCATTTCTTGGCTGGGACCACCAGCCTGCTCACTGTGGTTCTGTATCTCTCCGTTTCACAGATGCATCTTTATAAAGAAATATGCAAAAACCTGTTGAGTGCTTCTCACTTCACATACCATCATCTTTAAAGATCAGACTCTCTGATCCTAGGCTTTCAGCACTGGGGATGGTAGAACATGCTTATGTGGTAGAATCTTCTCAGGAACATTTCCCAGCTCAGGAGCATTTTCCAGCTTCTTATGATCTACTTATCTCCAATATTGCTTTGCTTCTGTTTCCTCCTCCTTGATCAGCTTTCTTTGATTTGACTGAAGCCACACAGAAAAAGATGAAGCAGATAATAAAAGGTGCAGATCATGCTTATAGAAAGAAATAATGTACATAATTCCACTATTATTCCCAGTCACCAAGCCAAGAAAATAAAAATTAAACCAAGTAAGCTCTTAAAAAAAGATTTGATCATAAAACAAAATGCATTACCTGTAAAGCATTTAGATGTCATAAGTAAACATATTCCATAAGTAACATTTTGTTGTCACTTTAACCAGCACATATTGGTATAAATCTCCCTGCTTTGCAGAAATAAATAAAATAATATAAAGCACTTTAAAGCAATAGAGCTATATCCATACTAGTGGCTTTATAAATTTGGATAATTGAAGCAATGCAATTTTTACTGATGTTCCAGACAGACAAATCAAAGTCTGTGTGTCGTACTCTTTTAGTCGGCACTGTAAAACCGTAGTGACAGGATGAGCCCAACAGCTATGTTTCACTTGGCCACATGCTGAAAAGTCTGAAGGTCTATCAGCACACATTCAAAAGATTCTGAGGTCTGAATACATGTAGAAGTGTTATGCATTGCAGATTTGGAGTATAAATTTGAAGAAGCAAAGACTAAGATTATAGGAAATTGAATCTAAATAAAGCAACAGTATGGAACTATCTCTTGTAAAAGAATATTGAATAGATCCATTACTGAGGAAGGTAAGTATGAAAGGAATACAATATATCAATAATAGGAATAAAAGAGAAATTGAACAAAAAGGCAATGGTGAAACAAGATGAAGAAAGTAACAACAAAATTGGGGCATCCCTATGAAAGTTTCAGTTTGATCTTCAGGCTTTTATGAACTCCAGTGAAGCTTGGGAGCAGGTGAGAGAACAGACTCATAGAGCAGGCACTGGAAATGATGGTCTTTCACTGGCTCTGCCTGAACCGTCTGGATTTGAAAAGATTGATGGAAGGAGGGAAAAGGTTTAATGAAGTTTATTGTCACATCGTCATTTCCAATCAAAAGTTCTGGTCTTCCTTCACACTGGGAATGGCATGCTATGCACTTTTTGGTTTTGTTGGAAGCAAATCCGCTAAGGGATACTCCATTTTAGGATTACAAGATCTAAAATAGTCTTTAATTGCCCTTCAGGACTGGTGGAACTTTCTACTTCAATTTTCTGTGGAATTGTTCTGGGAACCAGAAAGGTGGAAAATTAGTGAGCTGATGTCATATAGAGTTCATCAGTCTTACCAGCATATTGCTTTTTTGCTCCAGGATCCCTTTCTGCCAGTCTATATAGACACTGCATTATGTCTCAAGATTTGACAAATTATTCCCCTAAAAACAGGTATAAAACTTTCACAGTTTTATTACACTCTTCTTAGTTGTGGCACTTTTAAATGCACTGAAACTTTGATATGGGCTCATAGACCCTGCCTCTGCAGAAAGCCTGGGCATACATTCTTATTTAACTTGGATTCGTCACTAGATATGGGAAAGAATTGTCCATCAAAGGACACAATATTCTTCAGGAAGAAGTGTTTCTTCACATGCACCCTTTGACCTGGGTAGCTCAGTCAGTAGAGCGTAGCGCTAACAACGCTAATGTTGCGGGTTCGATTCCCGTTCGGTCCCCATGTGTTACCTGATCTAGTCGAGAGATGGCGTCCCTGGCAGCAGGGAGGCTGGATTAACATGATCTCTAAGGTCCCTTCCACCTTAGGCCAGCTATGATATGATATGACTTCATGGCTGGTAAACTATCCTCGACCAGTGTTGGAGAGCCACAGCCATAATTGTGTAACTTCATATAAAACTGTATGTCAGGTCATACACCACAATTAACTTTGGCAGGATTTTACTGCAATTCATGGATAATATGCATGGACATTCCTCGCAGAAGGCATCTGTAGTGGGGGAACCTCATTCCTTCACTGGAAGTAAATAGAGATCCCTCTTAATTCTATCAGCTGAGCAGAAAGCAAGCTATGATGGTGAATCCTGAATAGCCTACCACAGCAAAAGTTTACAGCACTTGAAGCATGTGACTCAAA